GCAGGGGACCTACATCATGCAGCCTAGAATGTGGTGGATGAACTGTTTCTTCCTAGCATGCAACTATTCATAGGCTGTACAAACTAACAACAGTAGCTGGCTGCTTTGTTCTAGGTTGAGAGGTAAAACTTGCATCAGCAGTGTTTTCACTGTAACACAACTTAATGGTCTTGCTGACCAATGAGTTACAAATGCACAAAAGGCTATTCTGTCTTGTAAAGTATAAAGGTGATACTCCTTTGAAGTCCAGCAGTGCCTGAGATGGAGCAATGTTCAGTAAAGAATAATTAATACTTCTTTCTGCAGGCTGAACTGTTGGTAAAGATCATACCTCCAAGCACTGACCAGTCCAAAAACTTCTTTCCCAATTCTAATGTACAGATGCAGACGTTCTAACTAGATGTCCATCTAGTGAAATAACAAATGCTGATATGCTTCATGCTAGCTAGTTCAAAAACCTTTCAGTCTGATTTCTTTCTTTACACAAAAAAAAGAACTGGATGCAAATCTAAAATGAGTGCTGACATAACTGTGTGTTTCTGTATGTATTTCAAGTGTTAGTGTAAGAGAACATTTAAAAGCTTGAACAGAAATATGTCACATTCATGGGAAGAGTTTGTGTCATATGAAGTCAGGTGTCCAAACACATGATGAGCGATTGATGAAGGACTGATCTTATCTGTGTTTTGTTAAACAAATCTGCAGAATCTCATGCAAGTATTAGAAAACCACAGAAATGCTGAAGTCCACTGTTCAAGTTGTGCTATGGATTGACTCCTGGGATTTAAAAGGGAAGCAGGAATTGCTGTTGCTACTCAATTTTTAATATTTGGTAGTTTTCCTTAAAAGAACCTGGATGTTTTTGTTTCTGCTTACACAGATTGTTTTTAGCTTTTGTAATGAGGTGTGGAAAGATTTTTTGTGAGTCTTCCAGTGCAGAGGTGTTCAGTGTAAGTGCTGAAAAGGGAGCACCTGCTGAAATAAGTGAAATTATTTCAACAATAGGCTTGGGGTGGGTGTGGAGTTCAAGTGTGCTTATACAATTTGGCAAAAATATTTCAGCAGTCTAAAAATAATCTTCAGTGCACATTAAAAAAGATTTTGGTATGCTTATGTGGTTGTATTACTTTGTAAGGGCTATAGATAGAGTGAATCGCATAGGTTATTCTAAGCAAGGGTCAATAAGAGCTTTGACAAATTCTGTGCATGCTTTTTTATGTAATTTGCATGCTGCTGGTTTCTGGTTGCTTTTTTTTAAAATGTTTTTCCTTTGTTTCCTTCAAATTTAAGCTTTCTCACTTCTGTTATTTCAAAAGGATAAATCTTTAAGGGAGAGAAACTACCTTTCTGTACAAAGCGATTGCCATTTGCTAAAGTCTCATAAACTGTGTGCTATTAAAGCTGGGAGCATAGGAACACAGTATCAGACCAGTGATCTGTCTAGTGTGAGAATCCATTTCTTAGAACTGTCATTATTAAATATTTCAGAAGAAGGTGCAAGAAACTGTGTAAAATAAATCATGTTTGTAGAAGTTTCTTTTCAACCCATCATTTCATGATGGATATATAAAGCAGAGAGCTTTATAAAGCAGCATTTGCTGGTTTTAAGTTGTATGATATAAAGAAGCCTGGGGGCTGGTGTTTGTTTCAGGTCTGCTTTTCTTGGTTTCAAAGCGGTAAGATAAAATATTTCTCCCCTTTGTACAGATGCAATAAAGAGCTGGGGTGACGCAGTGGTACCATAAAGCTGTATTTCACATTGCTTGCATGTGGTTTGCTGCAGTTATTTTACTGACAAAAAGAAAGCTGGCTCATGATGATTTCTTAACTTGAAGAGCAAATACATAGATAAATGTTAGATGAGAGAAAAAGCTTGATGAAAGAGAAGGATGCCAGGCTTCAGAGCAAATGCATTATTTTGATCTTCCTGGCTGTCCAAGGTATGCCAATGGAGATTGTCACAGTTCTGTAGCAGTCTGACTTACTAGGGTAGTGACAATCACCAGTTGAATTAAAGATGTTAAAATACAGAAAGCTACAAATATGTTGGACTCTTCCACCAATCCAAAGCTTCATTAATCCACTGTTTATGGCTGCTTTGAGCCTTAAAGCCTTAGAGGAATAAATATAAGACAAATACAGAATAAAAAACTCTAAACAAAACCGTGAAAGCTGAATAAAAGAAAGTAATTAAAAATTAGTTTAGTCTCCCTGTCTGAGAAATTATCTTTGAATCTATGCCTTGAAAACAGAAGCATGACCTGTTATTAATTCCCCTGACAGCCAATGCTTTAATGTCTTCCTGCCTTTTCCATAGACTGCTCATCATATGCATGGAATCTGTTGATATAGAAAAGGAGTGGTGGTGAATTTCAAACTTGGCATTTAAACAGTAACTATAGTATGTTACTTTACTAGCATGGAGTGTTATGTTTCAAAGGATGCCTAGCAACATAGAATTTCACTATGGGTCTAACACGCTGTACTAGATTTCAAAGAGTAGTTGAAGCTCTAAGTGAATTTCAAATTAGGAATAGGAAATTCAAACCAGCATTGATCCTAACTAGGTTTACTGTAAACGCTGACATCTCTCATCTTTTAAGGATGTCCTCTCAATCTGACAGAATTTCTGCATTTTAGAAAAAGAAAAAAAAATCTGATCTGTACCTGGAAAAAAATTGCAGTGTGTTCAAAACAAGGATTTTATTTTTACAGGGTTGACCTTTTATACTGGGCACTTTTTCAAGCCTTTTAAGGCTGGACAGTGCTATTTGCTGAATAGGTGTTTACTGTATTGGTGGCATTTATAGTATAGTTCCATCAGCCTACTGACAAGATGCAAATATAGTGAGTCTGTAAAGAGTGGATGTGAGGTGACAGTTGCGTTTCTAAAACCTTGCCATACGCAAAGGAAATTACAGTGTTTTTTGGCAAATAGAGGACCTGCAGCTTCATTTATTTTCAGGTTCTCACATTCATTGTGCAGGATCAAAGTTGATATTAAGCGAAATCAACCAGAGATTCTCCTCTACTAAATAACATCCATGGGATAAGGGAAGGTTTGTGGGGGAAAAGCTACAGTGAAACTTTCTCAGAAAGAATGGTCCAAACCTGCTCTAGAATCTGGCGATATTAGGGGTGTATAGGTTATCCTTCCACTTTTTGCTGATAGTAAGTATATGGTACCTGAATTAACAGTTCAGATATGTCTTCTGGCTGTTATAAATTGCCCAAAGATTAGCCCATATAAGCTTTTGTCATTAGAGACCTAGGCCCAAGTGCTCTAATTTAGATTCTGTATGCTTTGGTTTCATGTGTAGTTATATTTGCAGGTCATTCTGTGTGAAACTTGGAATTAGAGAAATGTCTAAGATAAAATAATGTTTCTTTGAGCTGGGAATTTACCCTGAGCATTTTAGAATATTAACACACACTTTGGTCTGCAGGATTGCAGCTGCTCAGTGTTTGAAGGATTCATCTGAAGAATAAAATATGTACAAGTAGATTGATAAATGTTAGCTTGATGGAGCTCTGTTAATTCTGTACTGAAGGATTCTGTGCTGACACTAAAATTCAACAGACTGTCTTACAGTCCTAGGATTGTAGTATAGTAAATTGATTAGTTTTAATAGGCTGTGCTATTATCAGTGTAGTACTTCCCTTCAACATGTGTATGCAGTGATCTCATTGTGTTCAAGTGAATAATGGGGTAAGTTTTAGAATAGAAAACTTTCTAATTCTACTTCATTTTATTTCTTAGCCGAAGTGAAAGAGAGGAATTTGAAACAGAGTTCAAACAAAAGTATGAACGAGAAAAGATTCTGCTGACAGAGGAAAACAAAAAACTTACCAATGAACTTGATAAGGTAAGTGCTGAATAGTTGCATCCTGAATTTACAGTGATTGTGTGCTCTGTACGAACTGGGCAATACGGAGCTGTATTGGTTATTATTAACTCTTAATTGATAGCAGAAATTGGTGTTACACAAAAAGTGGTGTTTAATATTTGATTTGAATAGAAAGTATCTACATGCATCTGAACTTGAAAATGGATATGCATATATGAGTATTTGTGTGGGGGAATTTTAATTAGATTGTCTTACGGTTAGGTAAAATTAATTCTAGGCAATAGACAATTCTAGACCATAAGCCAACAGACAGGATTATTTCACTGTATGACCTAAATATTAAAAAAAAATAGTTTATGATTTGTATATTTGTGTATATTTGCATGTGAAATACCAGAGCCCCTCCCACCCATTGAGATTAAGTGTTACTTTGAGATATGAAAAAAAATAAGGCATATTAATTGAGGTGTGTTGAGCCAAGTAATAATTATGTTTCGTGCATTTGGATTGTCTCTTTATTGTTCATTTTGACAGGTTATTCAAGTTCATTGTGGATTATTCTAGTCTTGCTAAACTTGTCTATTCTTTTTGTAATGCATTACATTTTCTAGAAACATGATGAAAGTATAGGGTTCTTCAAAGTAAGCATATTTGCATGTCTGTGCTCAAATTAAAGTATATTTTCATACCAGTATAGGACACATAATGCATATGCCTATGTGTAGGCTTGGTCCAAGAACAATAAGTGGCTAGTCACTTTGATAGTTTTTCTGCTCTCTTTCTCTTCCCTGCCATTACCTTTGTATTTTTCTTGTCAAATGACTTTAATAAGTAGGCATGTTTAGATTATAAACCCATTCAAATGATAAATAGGGAGTGAAGTTATTCATATTTGGAGCAAAAAAGCAAAATAGATTTAAAACTGGCAATTTTTTTATCATTTTGATTTATTCATATATTTCAGTACTCAAAGAAGCCTTTCACCTGAGATTCATTCTGCTGAGCAGGCCTTCCTATAGAGTCTGTCTGGTCGCTGATTCCAATTTCACTTTCTGAATAATTATTTAACAAAATGAAGGTTTAGTTCCCAGTACCAGCTCAGGTTAGCTGTGGCTTTTGTCTTGCAGAATGTGCATGTGTGAATGGCAGCTATGTGAATGCAAGAGGTTAATTGCTAGGTATAACATATTGTACTTACAGATATGCATATAATTTCAATTCTCCTGTCTGCAAGTAAGGAAAATGAAAAATAGGGGAACATGAGACACCTGGAGAATCTCAGAACTGTCTTGTGCTTATATCTGTTAAGCCTCTCTTTCTCC